GACAGGTGAAAATTTGCGTTTTAACACGTGTCGGATTACTGTAAGAGTCGAGTGCCGTACTGAATTTTCGTTTCTGTGAGGATCGCAGCGCCAAAACTGAAGGTCACTCTTCGTCTCTAACGTTAAGCCCCGGAGCGCAGAGGAGGGGCTGCCTATTTGTGGGCCCGGGATGGTGCTTGAAAACGTTTTTCTTACCAGGAGAATCTAGTTTCCCTGGGTAAAGAGCTGAGCTTTTACGAGAGGGGGAGTACTGGGGTGATTGGGTGAGGTGATTAGCTCGTGCAAAAAACTGGGATGAGGAAGAATTGAACATTGATTGACCATTGATTCAATCCAGTTCAAAAGTGGAAAGTCGTAGTGCGCTAGCATGTTATCCATACTATCCTTCCTCCCACCTAAAGTTACTCTTCTCTTAAGGCTTAGGCAAGAAATCCAGTGCTTTGTCCCTGCACCAATAGAGGCCTGCAAGGCCGGCCACCCCTCTTTCTCTGCGCTCTAGCTCCTAATGTTAGGGACGAATGGTTATCCTGCCCACCGAACTGTGTTCCCACTCGCAATTATTCTTCAAATCCCTCAAGTCTCTCTGTGACCCCAGACGAACTTCCTCACACATGATTTCCTACCGTAGTTTTAGCTGTGGAATCTGTATGTTACGAGATGTTGTCCGTGAATACTTAGCGACCACTGCATGTTGTTTTACGACTAGAAGTGTTGACTTTTGGAGAACTAAACATGGATGGGCTTTCGCTATTAATACTGTGTTTCTCACTAGTCTTGCCAACAAAGGAATATGGTCTCTGTAGCACATTCCGTTGAGTAATGATAATGGGGATCTTTCCCAGAAGGGCTTAGCTCCTATCAATAGTTCTGGCGCCGTATCAATGCTAAGCGTCATTTTGGTCCCCTAATAGATAGCAGTAGCACCACTAGCACCTCCAAAAACGTTATCTTTCCTATTTTCGGTGAAAATTTGTCAGCAATCGGCGATGGGTGATGATTTAAGGGAGCGCTGCTGGGGGAGCCACGCGGACCCATGGCCGTAGCTAGTTGCACCTATCCTGAAAGTCTAGTTTTTCTGTAATTTTTAATTCTCAAATAATTCTAGAGTGACAATCGAACTTCTTTGACTATGCCTTTGTTTCCGTGCAGAATTTTTTCTCAGTCAAGGATTATTTTTGAATGAATCTCTTTTGGTTTCGAAGAATTTTCCATATTTACATTCCTTACATCTCAATCTTTTTTCTAGAATTGTTAATCTTACTGGTAATTTTTCTCTCTTATAAGTTAGATTCCTCTCCGGAAGGTCAAACGCCATACTATCACCGAGCCTCTTATCGTGGAATGAGAGCATACGATTTCCTTTGTTTATTTTTCGGATTGTGTCCGCTTGTCGCGTAAATGCCGTCTTCACAGCTACTCACTCTACTCATCACTGGTGACATTATACGTATTTATGGACTGTTTTTGTAGGTAATCATGTCGCTGAAGTCGTTACTGTCAACACCGTTACTTCGAGCAGCGAAGATTAATGAGTCCATTTATGACGGTGTGATTCTCGTCACAAGTTGTGCAAAGATCGTTGCTGAATTACCTCCACTGAAAGAACTCTCAGCGGCTGTATTGGACTTCATTGAGGTGAGATCTAATCTGCAGTTTTTCTCAACCGTAGGTGGTTATGTTTTTTTTTACACTTCCATGGCCTCATTTCTATTGCTAATGCCGCTTCTATAAATTCTGCATAGAGATTTGAGTCTGTAATTTATTTTACGCAAAATCTTACATCGTGATGTCCAATTGGACCTCGATTAGGCTTCTACTCCTTTAAGGTGGTAAAAGAACCCCTCTCGAGCTTAAGATGATTTTCAACGGATGGTATTTATTCGCCAGTTCATGGCCATTGGTATTTTTTAGGGTTTTCGTATGATTTCTGTCAAATTTCTTCCCCACACTCACTTAGCATGACCTGCAATGGTACCTTCGTGCGAAAATTTGAGTTTTTTCATAAAAAACTGTCTCAATTACGTGAGGTAACTTATTCAAATTCTGAGAGTACCATGATTTCCCATTTTCCCAACTTATACACATTAAACATGGTTGCTTATTTTAAAGCTTATAACTTGAGCCACGTTCAAAATATTGGCAGCGCTGATAGTCTTCAAAATTTTAAACTTTTCTCATCGAAATCGATGGCTTGTTTTATCAATCATAGGAAATAGGCCTTAAGAAATTGGTTAGGCTTGGCTATCTTCGGAATTTGTTTTTCATGTGTATTTTCGAAGCTCTTGATACCCCACTTTATTAGTTAGCTTTCGGCATATAATGCCTTCTTCAGACCTTAACTTTACAATACATAGTTGCAATCAATCAGTCAACAATCAGTTATTATGTAGAACACATCGGATCCAATCAAACCAACTGGAAATGTTGGAGAAGAGGGCATTGCATTGGAAATGTATTGTAAAGTTGAGGTCTGAAGAAGGCGTTACATGCCCGGAAGGTAACCAATAAAGTGGGGTATCAAGAGCTTTGAAAATACATA